TTAATTGAATTGTGCATCACTACTTTAAAGGCCCCGTCCACAATATCTATAACTATGATAACAATGTGGGCATCCACACTGATGAATGATAATGTTGTATAAACAGTGGCCCTGACGCACTGTGGGCTCAAGCTCTGTCGGCAGTTTAGGAAAAATGTATATTGATGAAGTAATGAGAGTTGTCATCTTTTGAGGACAAATTTTGTTCATACATTTAATAAGTTGTATACCACAATATCGTTCATCAAATCGCTCGGTAAGTGATCCCAATGACATTGTCTGCCACTGTTCTTGTGGTGTGGACTCCACTGGAGATACATATATTTATAGTTATAGTTGTTATAGTTATCATTCATCATTTTTAACAAGCTGTAAACCCAACATTGACACTATCACCTTTATAAAGTTATGATGAATGCATTAGCAAATAGTACACGTATTTGTGGCCACCTGTAAGTCTGATATTCATTCGCCTTTTCTTAGCTTTGGTTTGGTCTCCACCAACTCCTGAAGGCAATATCTGGTTATATATTATATAATATGTAATATAATATTAGGTGTTAAATGTTCCACCATGTTCACCGACACTGCACTTTGTCAGTACTCCCCAAAACCCGTAAACAGACTTCCCTTTTAATTTAAGGGGCCTGTAACAACAGACACCATAGCTTCCGTGTTAAGTGAAAATTACTTTCTCTGGAGAGCTTCATCACTCTGTGCTGCTCATTGGTTAGGACAAAACAAAACCGCCAACATCATCACAGTGGGCTGAGTAAATTAAGGGAAATGAAATGGCAATTTAGCCTGACTGCCAGGCTCAGAAATGATGAGGATCAGTGGGGTTGAGGAGGTTAAATAACTGCAATGAACTGTTCCACCGCTTGTATTACATCTTACTCCTCACATGCAAAACAAAACTGTTGATAACTCACCGTGATAGTTTTTAATTACAGTTTTCTTTGAATCATTACTTTAGATAACAGACTTTTGTCGAACAATTAACAGTGTGATCATATCACCACAATGCAATTTCACTGAAATCAATAGTCAATAAAAATTTAAATTTCTATCTCTCAGCAGTTATAACCAGTCAGACATGCATACATTTATTCTAATATATCGTCCCCTTGACTTCTTAAACGAACCCCTGGAGCTGCTGCCATGGCAACAGGTCAGTGTCGAATTGGAACCACAGGAGACCTGTGATTGGTTGCAGTGCTGCTGGATTTGTAGCTATTAATATTGTTGCAGTGAACTCTTTGACTGGCAGACGGCCCGTAGGACACACACTCACATACAAAACTGAAAATGGCCTGATCTCACATCCAAGGGAGCTCCTGACAGCTTGATTGACAGATTTAGTCTAGCTTTACTAATCCTAAAAATATTCACGCTATAGCAGGGAACTGAGTGTTTACATATATGGAGTAAGCGTAATCCTGACATCTCTCACTCCGTTAGCGCATCCTCTCAGTTCAACAAAGGCTTGAAAATGTAATGGCAATTATGAGTGGAGTGGAGGATTTTACTGCAGTTGTTATTCTTTTAGATGTATAGTAACGAGCTCGCTGGTGCAGCAGCACAGTCTGTGTTGTGGCTGCAGTGATGAAGTGATGTTGGTTGTTTTTTTTCGGACTGCCACAAAAAACATTTGAGTGAACCACAGCTCTGAAAATGTAGTGCAGAAATACATGACATAGACCGTCTTGATTTATTTGGATCATCCCACAGATTTACTTCACAGCATAGCTCGGGAAATGACACAAGATTGCCCGCTTTGTAATTAATACATACACTCGTGAGTGAAATACAGCAGGAGCTTTAATGATGCCGCCGTGTGATGCCCTCAGGCGGGTAACTTTGTCCCCTGATCCACGCTCATTTACTGTAACTCATTAGCCACACACAAACACACACATGCACGCACACAATATGACTGTGTGTGCTCTCCGACCATTTGAGCTCACGAGCTCAAAGCGAGGTCATAGAATTGCTCATGATGAAGCCAGAATCACCAAAAGGGATTAGATTACTTCACTGCTCTTGCATTCAGTTCAGAAAATCCATTTTTAACAAAATCAAAACTGAAGGGCTCGGCAGGAAGGAATCGAGGCGTGCAGACAGAAAGGAGATTGATGGTTGTGACTGGATGTAAACAGGTTTTTATTAATGATTTGTGAAGGGTGCGTCGGCAGCAGTGCTAGCTGAACACGTGCAGCTACCGTAGCATCGTAGCAGACTTTTAAAAAATGCAAAATGGAGGTTCAGGTTTGGGTTGAACATCAGTCGAAAATAGATGAGTCATGTTTTGCACCAACATCTGAAGAACTCCGTACTCAATCATCCTGACCTCTGCATACAGTAAAGGGCACGCTGCCTCCTGCATTAGCTCGGTTAATCCAGCACTGAATCGTCAGATAGTTGTTTTTCTTTTTCTCAGGGAGAAAGTGTAATTCCCTTTGTGTTTCACAGCAAACAAACACACTGTGGGTTTTTACTGGCATGTGAATCAGCAGTTCAAGAAAGAAATGTCAGTCTTGAGTAAACTCTCTTTCTGTGAACGCTTTTTTATTTTTTATTTTTTTTTTGTCACATTGTGTTATTGAGTTAACCTTGCTAAACTGCCTACCCTGTCAGGGTTGATGTAGAGATGGGTGATAAATAAAATAAAAACACCACGAGGCTCCAGAATAGTTTCAGTATTCACGTAGACTCTCTAAGTCTCTGAAACTCTACTGGAGCGATGAGCTAAAAGATTTTCCTTAATTTTCAGTGATGGTGGTAGAGAGATGTCTAATGTACAAAGTATGTATGTGCATTTGACCAGCTTTCATCAAAAATGTAACCAGATTAGACTAATTAATCATTCAAATAGTAATTCCGGGTGTCAAATAGTAATAGTGTTCCTTTGGAGTTTATCGTGTTACCACAAGATAGTACTGATATCTAAAGTTATCATTATCAAGCAGTTGTTTTCTAGTCACATAACATGAAGTCACATTCAGTCCTCTAGGATAAACAGTTCACATATGAACATCTTTATCTGTGTTCAAAATCTTCTGAACTAACAATAACTGTTCTATTTGTTTTGAGTTAGTTTTTCCTGTGGTGAGGTTTGTGATTCTTGTTCAGCCTCCACTGTGGCTCAGAGTCTTCCACTGTGTCCAGGACTAGTTTACAGTTTGTTAATTTGCTGGAGAATGTATTAACAGGTGCTGGGCTGCTTCCTGGTTGGTCTTCATTAGCACATAACCCCCC